CACCCCAGTGCCCCCCCAGTGTCAGCCCCCTGCCTCTCAGAGCCCCCACCCCTAAGAGCTCCCCAGTACTAGCCCCAGCCCCCCAAGTGCCAGTTCCCCACCCCTCACTCCCAGAATCCCCAACACTTGTCCCACCCCTGGTGTCCTCAGTGCCCACCCCACCACCTTCACCTAGCCCTGTGCTACCTCCCAGCCACCAGCTGAGCACTGCTGACTGGGTTGCGGCAGCGCTAAAGCTGCCATGCTAGGCTCCACAGGGTCCTCCTACCATACAGCAATCCTCTCTTCTGCGTCCAGGAGGAGACCCCGCCTCTGCACCATGCTAGTTGGCTGGGAGGTGGAGTAGGACACACCTCTCCCAACAGCCACGGCAGGAGGGGAGGTGCTGGGCAGTGTATCCTAGCCCCAGAGTCGCCATGGCCCAGCAGCCAGCGACTTGTGGTTCAGCACCAGTCTGCGGACCAGCAGTTGAGAACCGCTGCTCTAAACCTACTGTAACAAGTTCATGACCCACCACCATGGCACCGCCTATTGGTCACTCCAGAAATTCTCTCAGTCCAGACTCAGCACACCCTTTCCTGGTGGTGTTTCACCTATTTACCCTTATGTTCATTCTCCACCACATGTTGAGACCCATGTTCCTCTCAGACCACAGTACCCTTCCCTCAGCGTTCTGCTCTGTTGCAGCACCCCCACACTTTGGGGTCCTCCCCTCCTAAAATTTCTATACTCACCTTGTCTCAGTGACTCACTGTCAGTCATCATCTAGCCCAGCCTGCAGCGCAGTTTGGGTTTATGTGGGGCTCAACACATGGCCTGCAGGTGGGAGCCAAAACAAAAAAGTAGTCTTCTGTTGATATGCATTTTAGTAGTTACATTCCTGGACTGTCATTGCTCATTAAAAGTTCTGTCATATGGGTGGAAATCGGGTAAATGTTGCATTTTATTAATATCAGCAGAACTGACTAAATGGGCCTGTGCGTTGTATAGTCTTGCCTTAATCTTTGTATTCATGCCCATCAGTGTGAAAGAAGCTATTTGCATATATTTGCATGTATATGCAACCACACTTATGTTGTGGCCCTCGGCAAGTGCCATGAGTATCATTGTGGCCTCTGGGGCTTCCAAAGTTGTGTAGCCCTGATCTAACCCTTACCTCAGGGCCAAACTGAAGTCTGAAATGGCCATTTATCATTGGCAAGGGGGTGTGGACCTGCTGCTTTCTCCTTCCCTGACTGCTCCTCTGCACCTACCTCCCTGAGCTACTGTAGCTAGGCCTGGGG